CACTGATGCCCATGCCTACTCCAGATCTTACTGTCTTTGAAGCATCGGTGTACCAGGCTAGGGCTCCTCTTTTTAGTTGAGGCCCTCCCTTCGGGCTCTTGCTTAGATCCAAATCCTTTTGGTTCTTGATTGGGAAGGATCTCTTGGTTTATTTTTGGCTGTTATATTAAGAAACATAGGCAAGATGCTAAGAGAAGTCAGAAAAACTTATGTCTAGCCATGTACTATATTAATAGATGTTTGTATTCTGGACAAAATCAATAGGCTATGATTTCAAAGATGATATTGAGAGATATCTTTGACTATATTGACAGGCATCTATGTTGACAATGCAGATTATTAAAGACAACGTAGTGTAATGTCCGTGATGATTTTGGGGCTATCAAGAATGATATTGAGACGGAACCCAACCCAACCACAAAGAAATTGTTATTAGGTTCGAAAAAATGATGTTAAATAGTAATAAAGTTGATATCGGGAATTGAAGGCTATAATAAGGAGTATCAAGAAGATTCTATGACAGGTCTTTTATTGGTGTGGATGAGCATTTCGTGATTCTCGGGAGATAATTTTTTTGTGGTTGTTTTTGCGAGATAACTTCTTATGAATCACTAAGATGAAAGAAACATGGTTCAATCGAGGTTGTTTCGGAAATTAAGCTTTAAATACATCGTCCGAACCTGACCATCAGACATAAAATGGGTACCAAACAGAACTTTGCTGTTTAGGTTGCTAGAGATAACAAATAATACTCCCAGGAAGGAATATGAACACTTTAACTACTAGACTCATATGGCTTATTCTTTGAACTATACCATGGCGGAAGATACAAGATGCTTACCATCGCTTTTCCAAGACAGATTTAAAGTTTAGGTTAATACTCATGAAATACAAATGACTTTAGCTGCTTGGTGCTAGCTCAATATGGTTTAGGATCTAAATCCACAACGCTAAATCTTAAAATATTTGTTGTACAAAACTAACACGGCCGTTTTCGATGACATCGGTCGCTCCCACCACCACATAGACTTTTATTGGTATGGATGAGCGTTTCGTGGTTCTTGGGTTCAAGCTGACGAATCACTAGGATGAAAGAAACATGGTCCAATCGAGGTTGTTTTGGAACTTAGAATTTAAATACATCGTGGGAATCTGACTATAAGACATAAAATGGATTCCAAACAGAACTTTGATGTTTACTTGCTAGAGATAAGAAATAATACTCCCTGGAGGGAATATAAACACTTTAACTACTTAATGGTACTCATATGTCTTAGGAATCAAGTCTTGCACAAAACTAATACGGCCGTTTTCGAAGACATCGGCCGCCCACACCACCACAGAGACTTTTATTGGTCTGGATGGGCGTTTCGTGGTTCTTGGGGGCGGCCGACGTCTTCGACGACGGCCGAGATCAGTTTTTGTGGTTGTTGCAAGCTTATGAATCACTAGGATGAAAGAAACATGGTCCAATCGAGGTTGTTTCTGAACTTAGGCTTTAAATACATATTCCGAACCTGATCATGAGACATAAAATGGGTACCAAACAGAATTTTGATGTTTAGGTTGCTGGAGATAACAAATAATACTCCCTGGAGGGAATATAAACACTTTAAGTACTTGATGATACTCACATGGATTAGGATCCAAGTTTTATATAAAACTAACACGGCCGTTTTCGAAGACATCGGCCGCCTCCACCAGCAAAGAGACTTTTATTGGTATGGATGGGCGTTTCGTGGTTCTTAGGAGCGGACGAAATCAGTTTTGTGGTTGTTTCAAGCTTATGAATCACTCAGATGAAAGAAACATGGTCTGATCGAGGTTGTTTCTAAACTTAGGCTGTAAATACATCGTCCGAACCTGATCATAAGACATAAAATGGGTACCAAACACCATATGGCTCATATGACTTAGAAATCAAGTGTTGTACAAAACTAACACGGCCGTTTTCGAAGACATCGGCCGCCTCTACCACCACAGAGGTTGTTATTACCGTAGATGGGCGTTTCACGATTTTCGGGAGGTCACTTTTTGTGGTTGTTCCGAGATAACTTCTTATGAATCACTAAGATGAAAGAAACATAGTACGATCGAGGTTGCTTCGGAACTTAGGCATTAAATACATCGTCCGAACCTGACTATAAGACATAAAATTGATTCCAAACAAAACTTTGAGGTCTAAGTTGCTAGGGATAACAAATAATACTCCCAGGAAGGAATATAAACACTTTAACTGCTTGATGATACCCATATGGATTAGGAAGCAAGTCTTGTACAGAACTAACACGGCGGTTTGCGAAAATATCTTCTTATGAATTGCTAATATGAAAGAAAAATCAGTACTACTTACATTTCAAGATGTTTCGGTATTTAATTTTTAAATATATTTTTGAACTTGACTATGGTGGAAGATACAAGATGGATAGTATGCTTACCATCGTTTTCCAGAACAAATTTAAAGTCTAGGTTGCTACTCGTGGAATACAAATAACTTTAGCTGCTTGGTGCTAGTTCAATATGATTTAGGATCTAAATCCACGTCTTGTATAAAACTAACACGGCCGTTTTCGAAGACATCGGCCGCCTCCACCACCACGGAGGCTTTTATTGGTCTGGATGCGAGTTTCATGATTCTCGGGGGCGGCCGGGATCACTTTTTGTGGTTGTTTAAAAAAAATCCTTTTTATGAATAATTCATAAGCAATTATTGCAACAAACTTTTTCCTTTATATTTCCACCTACTTCTAGGGCCCATATCTTCGTTATCTAGAAAGATAGCGAAAAACTAAGCACACGGTTGGAAAGCTTGGTCTTTTCTCTATCATAAGCCGATATGTTGATAATAAGAGCAAGAAAAAATAAGAAACGTCGAGCTGCATTCAATTTACCTCAGAATTACCAAACTTCACGGCCTTGTGCAGCCGTTACCAGATGGAAATTCAATAAATGGTTTACATATTCGGAAAGAGCTGACCTTGGACTATCTTATTCCGAGTTTTCGTCCGCCAATATCTATCAGCGTCTGTAAGAAAAACGCACCTGAAAAAATATTTCTTGCACTAATAACTTTCTTATTTGACAGGGAGAAAACTCTACAACTATATTCAACTTATGGAAAATTTCCTGCTCTTTCCAACGATGTGTGAAACACGTTTGCACAATCCTTTTTTCTGACTATGAACTACCTAAACCACGAATTTTTGCCGCGGCTAAACCACGCTTAGGTCAATAACTAACTCTCTTGTATGACGGGGAAAAAACTCTAGAACTATATTCATCTTATGGGAAATTTTCTGCTCTTTCCAACGGTTCCAACGCGTTTTTTAAATTGATGAACTGAGTTAAAATGCAAAGTTGGTAACGTTACCAGATTCAAAACCATCAAGACACAATTCAACAATTCGAGTCTAAAATCACTCAAATTCTTCCAGATTCTGATAAAATAGGTGTAACATGAAATAATCTTTCCTTTTTGAANAGTAATAAAATATGGGGGGTGCCATTTAAAAAAATGAAGTTATGGTGCTTCCAAATTTCGAAAAGTTAACGTATCATAGTAAAGTGACCAAACGATCTAGACAGCCGTTCTCGGCACCAAAACATACTCCATCATGTTGTTTAAGCATGTTCTGAATCCTAAATTGATATCTCAAAAATTGAGTGTTCTATGATTTTTTGAACAAATGTCCGCTGGAGCAAATTTTTCTAGAAAAATTCGAATAATTCGAGAATTGCTGGTTCAAATTGCAAAAAGTAAAGTTATTTATAAACCTTCAAAACAGACAAATCCAAATATGTAAAAATATACAGGGTGTTCCATTTAAAAAAATAAAGTAGGTGGCGACTTCCGGTATAACCGGAAGTGTTAGAAATCTGAAAATATTTTAGATGAAGAAAACGTAATTGATAAAACTTAAGTCTGCATTTTCAAATTTTTTGTTTGGCCAGAACCCCAGAAACGTCTAATGACCGGTCTCGCTGAGACACCCTGTATATCTTTGAACTTGACTATGGCGGAAGATACAAGATGGATAGTATACTTATCACCACCGTTTCCAGGACAGCTCAATATGGTTTAAGATCTACAGAACTAACACGATCAATAATCACGGATATTTAATCCACAACACTAAATCTTAAAATATTTGAACTTAGGCATAGATATTGATATTAGCTACGTTAATTCTATACATAACAAGATAAATTTTATAATAGGATTAACAATAAGCACAGAGATAACACTCACAAATAACTTTTTATATATAACAAAAATTTATTTCCAAATTAATTAATTAAGAACAAATCTTTCGCCAAGAATCTCCTAAAAAAAAAAGAATCTGGCACGAAAATAACCGGAAACGACCAATTAAACAACAACACTAATCAGAAAATAACCCAACAACAAACCGAATTATTCCGGTAATTAACTTTATTTTTTTTTTCACGTCAATTTAAAACCACAAAATTAACAAATTAGACTCAAATTTCCGCAATGTTCAGCGATAAAAATAAAAAGAAAGATAGGTTATATACATCGTTAGAAAGTTCACTCGGATCAAAGAACATCTCGCTGCTTCTTCGTCCCTCCACGGCCTTCTCTCTAAAAGAGAAGATCACCTAAATGTCAAATTAAAGGTCAACCGAATATTTGCAACAAGTCTTTCTCTTTTATATTAATATATTAATAATGATAAGATTTTAATTAATTATTCGAGTTTCTTTTAATTAATCAATATTACAAAAATAATGTTATTTTGAAATTAAATTATTTATAACGTTATTTTCGTTTTTAAAGCTAAGAAGAAGTCTTCACGGTCTTTATTTAGGTTAGAAAACATCTGCCAAGCGTTCAACCATCATTTTTTTTTAAATCTTTTTTATACACAGCACACATTGATGATAACGTAATATATAAAACAGATGACGGACGAAATCGACGAAGCGTACTTAATTTTCTTTTTTTTTAAAACATAACCTTTAAAAAATCTATATCTCACCAAATTTAACGATTCCTCCGACGATGATTCCACCTCCTCTCATCTTTAAAAATATTTATTTTTATATTTTTTTTAAAAAACCATTTTTCGTTTGTTCAATTTGTTTTAAATCGGGGAAAAATTAAAAACTCGCGAAACAACGCGAAATCTCTTTATTTCTCTTTCTAAACGGAACCGAAGGCGAATTAACACTGAAATTCTTCGGCGTCGGTCGCCTAACAACATGTTATCTCTCTCTCTCGCTCGGTATCCGATCTTTGCGCACGCGCAAAACTCCAAAGACCTCAAAAGACCGGTTTATCTTACAACTTTTTTGATTCATTCTGTTTTTTTTTACACTAAAATTAAACAATGTTTATAAAAACCCCTTTTAGTGATTAAAAAGAAATTTTTTATGAAATTAAATTGATAACCTTGAAAAATTAATTAATTTAATTATTTAAAATTAAAAATTAAATATATGCAACCCAAATCACTTCAAAACACTAAATTAAAAAAAATAAGATATGCAACCCAAAATGCTAAATATATGCAACCCAAACGACATTAATTTTGACATTTAGGGCGGTTCTAACCTAAAAAATAAAAAATTTATTTTCTCGTTTTAACGGAAATATGCCGGTAAGTTTATCAAACTATGAGTCATTTAGTGATTCATTAATTTATCGTTATTTTCCTTTTAAAAAATGGACGGTTTCAAGGCGTACCATTCAAGCTTTTTGAACCCTCAACAAATAATCGGAAATACGGCGATTTTGCCGATTAAAACGCAATTTCGAGGACCGTCGATCGTCCAAAACGGTAATGAAAGCGATATAATCGATGAGGCGCTTTATTATTTTCGCGCAAACGTTTTTTTCCGCACCTACGAAGTTAAGGTAAATATAACCTCAAATTAATTTTTGTGGTTATTAATTTTTTGTGTTTTAGTCGGAAGCTGATCGATTGTTGATCTATATTACTTTGTACATAACGGAGTGTTTAAAGAAATTGCAACGATGCTCATCAAAAAGCCAAGCTCAACAAGAAATGTATACTTTGGCGATTAGCCGATTTGATATCCCTGGTGATTCTGGGTTTCCCTTGAATACTGTTTATGCGAAACCACAAACACCACAAGATGCGGGTTAGGAATTTAATTAGATTAATTTTTTTTTATTAATTATTTAATTTTAGAGTTTATGCGTACATATTTAACCCAATTGAGGCAAGAAACAGGGTTAAGAGTTTGCGAACGTGTCTTTGGAGATGATGGGAAGCCCAGTAAATGGTGGCTTTGTTTCTCAAAAAAGAAGTTTATGGATAAATCTTTAAGTGGACCAGGACAGTGAGTTTAAAAGTTAAAAAGGAATATGAATTATGCATTTTAATCAATTTTATACCTTTTTTTGTGGGTTAATTTATTAAGTCCAATAATAAATACTTTAAGAAGACGATTTTATTACAATTTTTATGGTTTAAAACGATATTTATTTTTTAAATCAAATTATAACCTAAAAAATTGGTATTATTGAGGGTATTTTAAGAATTATTAATTTTATCAAAAAAATTTACAGTTTCCTGTAAATTACGATACTATAACTAAAAAGTATTCTACTAAAAATTTATATAAAATTTACTTTATTTTCTAATATGTAACATTCTAACATGTTAAACGTTTCGTAATCCATCTTAAAAAAACAGGATTTTTAATTTGACACTTGACACACAACAAATATTGCTATGTTTATTTGAATTTAAAAAAAATATATTAATAAAAAATGTGAAATAATGCAATTTATTCCAACTTTTGTGTAAAACAGATATAAATTAAATAGTTAAACAAATGTATTTGATTCAAATATTAGAAAAATGCTTTTTTTAATTTTTAGTTATAATTTACAGGAAACTGTAAATTTAATTTCTTTAACGACACTAAAAAAAAGTTTATTTTTAGCTTTATTCTAAAACAATAAGAAATAGACCTATCTCACCCCATATTTTTGTAATCAGAAAAAAATAACGAATTTAATAACCGAATAATGTGGTTGTTTTCATTTAAAAAAACGAAAATTGTCATAATATCTCAAAATCTAAAACCGAAAATTTTTTTTTGACTACGTCATGAAATTCTCTGTAAAAACGTGTCCATATAATGTCTTAGTTATAATACTCCACCTATAATAATAACCAAGATAATTGCACTTGTTGGTTTTATGATATTTTCAATTTTGGCCTCTATTTTGGCCACCCTGTACTACACTTGTATACAAAATAATGTTTTTGAGGTTATCTTATTAATTATTAATTTGATCAAAAAAGTTATTAAGCAATATTTATTTAGATTTAAGAAAGCAATAACTTTTATTAATACAATTTTTCAAAATTTTAACATTTTAATTTCCCACTGAATAGTATGGTGTATACAAGTCAAAGCATTTTGTAGCACATCGTTTTTATCAAAAAATGTTTCATATAATATTTATTTATAAAATCATTTAAAATCAATCTTTTAACTTAAAAATTCAAAATCTCCATTAGATGGCGCTACACACTGGTATAGAAAATAATATTTTTGAGGTTATCTTCATAATTATTAATTTTATCAAAAAAGTTATTAAGCAATATTTATTTAGAATTAAGAAAGCAATAACTTTTATTAATACAATTTTTCAAAATTTTAACATTTTAATTTCCCACTGAATAGTATGGTGTATACAAGTCAAAGCATCTTGTAGCACATCGCTTTTATCGAAAATTTTTTCATATAATATTTATTTATAAAATCATTTAAAATCAATTTTTTAACTTAAAAATTCAAAATCTCCATTAGATGGCGCTGCACACTGGTATAAAAAATAATATTTTTGAGGTTATCTCCATAATTATTAATTTTATCAAAAAATTCTTTAAGGAAATTTGATTTAGAATTAAGAAAGCAACATTTTTTCTTAATACAATTTTTTGAAATACCCACATTTTGATTTTCCCACTGAATAGTATGGTGCATACAACTCAAAGCATCTTGTAGCACATCGTTTTTATCGAAAAATGTTTCATATAATATTTATTTATAAAATTATTTAAAATCAATTTTTTAACTTAAAAATTCAAAATCTCCATTAGATGGCGCTGCACACTGATATAGAAAGTAATATTTTTGAGGTTATCTTTATAATTATTAATTTTATCAAAAAAGTTATTAAGCAATATTTATTTAGAATTAAGAAAACAATAACTTTTATTAACACAATTTTTCAAAATTTTAACATTTTAATTTCCCACTGAATAGTATGGTGTATACAAGTCAAAGCATCTTGTAGCACATCGTTTTTATCGAAAAATGTTTCATATAATATTTATTTATAAAATCATTTAAAATCAATTTTTTAACTTAAAAATTCAAAATCACCATTAGATGGCGCTACACACTGGTATAGAAAATAATATTTTTGAGGTTATCTTCATAATTATTAATTTTATCAAAAAAGTTATTAAGCAATATTTATTTAGAATTAAGAAAGCAATAACTTTTATTAATACAATTTTTCAAAATTTTAACATTTTAATTTCCCACTGAATAGTATGGTGTATACAAGTCAAAGCATCTTGTAGCACATCATTTTTATCGAAAATTTTTTTATATAATATTTATTTATAAAATCATTTAAAATCAATTTTTTAACTTAAAAATTTAAAATCACCATTAGATGGCGCTGCACACTGGTATAAAAAGTAATATTTTTGAGGTTATCTTCATAATTATTAATTTTATCAAAAAAGTTATTAAGCAATATTTATTTAGAATTAAGATAGCAATGACTTTTATTAATACAATTTTTCAAAATTTTAACATTTTAATTTCCCACTGAATAGTATGGTGTATACAAGTCAAAGCATCTTGTAGCACATCGTTTTTATCGAAAAATGTTTCATATAATATTTATTTATAAAATCATTTAAAATCAATTTTTTAACTTAAAAATTCAAAATCACCATTAGATGGCGCTACACACTGGTATAGAAAGTAATATTTTTGAGGTTATCTTCATAATTATTAATTTTATCAAAAAAGTTATTAAGCAATATTTATTTAGAATTAAGAAAGCAATAACTTTTATTAACACAATTTTTCAAAATTTCAACATTTTAATTTCCCACTGAATAGTATGGTGTATACAAGTCAAAGCATCTTGTAGCACATCGTTTTTATCGAAAAATTTTTCATATAATATTTATTTATAAAATCATTTAAAATCAATTTTTTAACTTAAAAATTTTAAATCACCATTAGATGGCGCTACACACTGGTATAGAAAATAATATTTTTGAGGTTATCTCCATAATTATTAATTTTATCAAAAAAGTTATTAAGCAATATTTATTTAGAATTAAGAAAGCAACATGTTTTCTTAATGCAATTTTTCGAAATTCCAACATTTTAATTTCCCACTGAATAGTATGGTGTATATATATTAGGTGTTTAGACAAAAAAAAACGAATTTTCGGATTGTAAATACTGATTTTTTTTAATGTTTAAAAAAAACTCACACATCACAGAATTAATAATTAAAAACACGTCCACACGAGCTTCGATTTTCCGATCGATCGACAACACTCCTTTTCATTTACATCATTCCATTTTCACAACGTTACAATTATTTATAAATCGATACAGTTATTTTTTTTTCATACAACGGGTTTAATTATTTTATAATAAAAACCCTCCTAAAATCGCTAGCAAATAAAAACTACATCATATAGTACATTATACACTTTTTATTTTTTAGGTTTTCGTAAAAATTAAAAAAAAAATAATAATATTAATAATAAAACGGTTTTTTTTAATAAAAACCGTTTGAGTTCTCAAATTTATTTTATTAATTAATTAATTAATAAACTAAGGTGCGTATATATTCGTGTAAACAGTACGGTGGAAATACTAGAAATTAAAAGATAATAAGTATTAAAACCCTATAGAGACTAGAAAAGGGGGTGAAAGAGATTGAAGAGATTAATTAATAACTAATAAAATTTAAATAGATTATGGCAAATAAATTCACACATAAAAATCACAATTTACAAAAATATTTCTAAAGAACAAGGAGAAGAAATGGGAAAAATCTAAGAATTTCTACATGTATACACATAAATATGGCACTTGGAATGATATTAGACGTTCGTTTAATCATTTGAGTTTAAATCCACGAGTTTTAGAAGGATGTTGTGCTAAAATGGACACTTTTAATGTTTTTACCTCGCTAGCAAAACATTTATTTCTAATAATTCAATTTATGTCTAAATTTCTACAAAATTCTAAGCTTCTCATAGAATATATTATTATAAAAAAATTTCTATATCAAAATCTAGATAAATTTTTCTCCACTATCACCTACATTTAATTTAATTTAATATAAATTTTTCGAAAAATAATTCTCTAAGTCATCTAAGTTAATCTTTTTAGAATATCCATTAATATTTATTCAAATTGAGGTAAAAAAATCAATTTAGTGTCTTCGATTTCGTTTCAAGGCACGGTTATTTCCTTTTTTCTTAAAAAAAATTCTTTTTTTTCGGGGATTTTCTAAAAAATGATTTGTTTCGAAGTTGTACGTACCAGAGAAAATTCCTAAGGCACTAATATCTACACAAATTAAAAAAAAAACATTAATAAAAAAAAATCGGAAATTAAAAAATATATATATACAATTTTTTTTTCGTCTAAAATGTCTTTTATGGTTGTTGGATTTATTTTTGTTGATCCCTAAAGTGTTTCACCTCAATACAGGTTCTTTCTCGTTTAATACTACCCTAACGTATCACTTAAGTTTAAAAAATAATTTATTATTTCATATAATACGAGATGAATTAAATTATCAATTAAATCATCTCGCATTAAATAAATAAAATTAAATTAATTTGAATTTTTTTTGTTCAAGTTGTCTTCATTTCTTCATCAGTCGTCAATAATCGTAGTCTTTGTACAAAAAAAGAAAATTAAAAATCTTAAAATCTAACAGTTTAAAATCAAATTTACTCAAAATAATCTAATATTTACAACAAAACAAAATTTAAAAAAAATCCTTCATTTCTATTTACAAATAATAAAAAAAAAACTAATAATAAAAATTCTTTAAAATCATTTTTAACCTTCCATGTGTCGATATTTATGGGCCGACATCTGCGCTAACCCCAACACGGCGTACTGACACGATAAACAGTGGTAATGAGTCTGTTTGCCGCTATGTTGGCAACTCGGGGCGCGACAATGTTGGCTCGGGGTGAATTTTTCGAAACCCGCCGCTTGAATTGAGTCCAATTTTTGGTGTTGTCTTCGGTGCGCGACCACTTTGTTCGTGTCGGTGCACACGAAATCGCATTTTAAACAGTGGAAGTGAGAGGCTTTGTTTTGGGTCGAACCTAAAAATTACAAAAAATTTGTTTGTAACTAATTTAATCTTAAAGAATGTTAAAAATGCTTTAAAATGAGTACAAACACGATGTGGTTATGAGTTGTGGTTCTAAAGATATTTAGGGTTAAAAAAAAACAAGATGGCCGCCAAAAATCAAGATTAATTTTTGATTAAAATTTCGATTCCGCCATGAAATTTTCTTTAAAATGATACCAAACACGACCTATTTGCTATTTATGGTTCCAAAGATATATAACATTTAAAAAAAAACAAAATGGCGGCTAATATTTTGACATAACCTAACTTTTTTTAAATTTTAACCAAAAACATACCGAGTTTGGTATCAAATTTTATCATTTTTAATCCTTAATAAGATTCTGCTCTCAAAAGAATTAATTTTTGATTCATTTATAATAAAAGTCTCAAAATGGCCGCCCATTTTTTTCACTTAATATCACTGTTTTTAATTTTAATAGAAATAGAATGAGTTTAAGATAAAAAATGTAATTTTTTATTAATACTTATATTTCAAAAAATTCAAGATGGCCGCTAATTTATTTGACAAAATCCAACTTTTTTAATTTTTGATTAAAATTTCGATTCCGCCATGAAATTTTCTTTGAAATGATACCAAACACGACCTATTTGCTATTTATGGTTCCAAAGATATATAAAATTAAAAAAAAAAACAAAATGGCTGCTAATTTTTTGACATAACCTAATTTTTTTTAATTTTAACCAAAAACATACCGAGTTTGGTATCAAATTTTATCATTTTTAATCCTTAATAAGATTCTGTTCTCAAAAGAATTAATTTTTG